AAGACCACAAGTCATCAAGTTATGCCATGCAAATGCATTTGAGCGATACTTAGGTGAAAACATCCAACCCGGCTCAACAATCTCATGGAACTTGTTGGCATCATTATCCCAAATCCAACCTTTCAATTTTGGAGTCTTATAAACAAAAATCTAGCCGCATCACTTTTTAACTATTACAACATCACTTTTTTTTTCTCACTACCTCACCATGAACACATGAACTAAGATCTAGACAACTATTATTTGTCGCCTACAATCTATTAATTATTCCAAAGTCGAACAACTCAAAAATGAGTTACCTAACATATACAAAAAGAACCAATCAATAACGCAATATCTATCCGACATAAAGGCGAAAGTTGATATTTTTTGTCGCAGTTGATTCTCCACTTGGAACACAGAGTATGCCATATTATAAACCAAATGATATAACGACATCATACAAGAAATTTCAAACTTCTTTATTAAGTAATCTACAACCCATAAACATTGAAGGCATGTATTCCCCCCTCCACAGTGAGGAGAAAAATGTAGTCATTGAAGTTACCAAAGAATCTCTACCCTCAACATCCAATAGATAACTGAATGAAACTTTTCTCTATTCCTAGTCGAGCACTCCATCATAGCGTTTCAATTTACTTCACTCGGAATAGCGGGAATGTTTCTAACTGCTCCTCCAGTGGTTGATTCTCTCTTCGCTTGCAAGTATTGTGCTAAATTTGTGTTAAATGAGGACACTTAGCTATGACCAAATCTATCACATCTGGAGTTGGCTTATAAAAGGTGATATACTAAAAATAAATCCTTGAATAAGTAATTTGATTTATATAGTACTTGCTTGTTTTAATAATCATGGGGTAAAGAGAGTTTATAAAGTTAAGATTAAACAAAAATCTCATACGTACATAAATAAGTTGGGACAAACTCACATGACATTTAAATTTTTTATGTAGAACATGCAACAACTGTGAGTCATATATTTAAATTGATGTGCCCCCGATAATTGATATAAATTGTAGAAAATGGTTATCATGGCTAATCAAGAAAGAGACGGGAGGTTTTAGGATTATCATAAAAGAGTGCTTACTAATCAACGCACTTATTATTCTTACTGAAAAAAAAAACTAGCAACTAGGATAATAGACATCAATCTTCCTATTGATGGGAGGTGTTGACCTTAATGGTGATGATGGACATTATCATTGCTGCAATAACATGCATTACTATTTGTGTCAATGACTTGTGTTGATCATGTTTCCATTATCAAGAGTTAGTACTATTAACAATGATAAGAGTTGGCATTTTAAAAAAATAATGGGTGTTAGCATTGTTGCCGACAAAGAGCATTTATGTTATTATTTGTATTGATAAGAAGAGTTGGACTTTGAGTGACAATAGGTGTTGACCTCAAAGGTGACAACACTTGTGAATATTATCTATAGTTGAGGTGTTGGTGTTGTTGGTAATTACATGTGTTAGTCTTAGTAGCGGTAATATGTATTAGCTTTATTGGTGACTATAGTCATTAGTGTAATTGAGGAAGATCAAAATGGGATATGTGATTAATTTTTTTATCAATGTTAAGAAATAACCAAAACGTATATTAATTGTGTCAATTTGAATGGGTTGGTAGAATTCGTTTCTCTTCCAAAATTGACCCAACTCAAATCAACTTGACATAAATTCAACATATTTGAGTCAAAATGTTTAATATGAACCTAGATCAGCCCAAAGCCCCCTAACCAAATCATACTTAACAAACATATTTATTATATTAATTATGCAATTTTTTAATTAATATCATATAACTAACAAAAATATGACTTTTTTTACTGAATAACATATACATATTTTTACATTTTATTTTTAGCTTTTCAAAACCTAAGCACGGGTAGTAATTGGATCAACTTCAAGTTGATTCTAGGGTATTCAAATGAACTTGAACTTAAACTGAATAAGAATTGGGCCTGCAATTTTAATTTAAAATGAACTTGAGTCGAGTTCATTTTAGGTTTTTGAGTTGGATCATTTACTGACACCAACAATGCTCATAATTACCACAAAGTCTAAATTTTACTGATACAACAACATCAACACCTACTACCATCAATTTTGTCTATGTCTGTAATTACCGAAAAAAAAAAAAAATATTTATCGTTACCAACCAGTTCACTTTTCACCATCACAACCAATGTTGACACCAATAGGGATAATGTCATAATAAAAAATATGGACACAAGTAATGTTGATGCTCATTGCAAGCAAAATAACAACGCACAATGTTGCTACAAATATTTATAATGTTGTCATCACCAACACTGATATTCATCAATGCCATTACACGAGATACTACTTGGACGTAAAGGTTGTTGCTTGTTATCACGATAAGGCAAACACATACAACAACTAATAAAATTGATGCCTATCACCACAACTATAATAAATGCTGTCATGGCCATGAAGGACAATTTTCAAGATCATCAATAATGCTATCACCATTAAGCATAATGTTCGGTATCCTAAAAATATTGATGACCATCATTGCCACCAAAACATGATATCTTAAACAACCCTCATTGTCATCACCCCGCCCATAATCACCACATATTTGAATTCCTATCATCACCACCAATGCTAACATGCGCCTTTTTCCAACAACACAGGCACCCTTCCATTGCTAACACGATTAATAATTTTCTTCAACATTAATGTTATCATCAGACATCACTAAGAAGAATGATGATTGTAGTCATTAATAATATGGACACTGGAATGCAAATGCTAACCATCGAAAACCATATTGATGCAATCCACCATCATATATCTCCATCGTCACAACCAAATATGATGTCATCACCACAAAAGCATACCTAGCATCCCCAACAATATCATATCATGATGTTTCGACCAAGCCATTATTTGTCATATTCCCCAACATCTATGCCCATCATTGCCAACATGATTGATTTCCACCATCATAAATGTTGATGCCCTTTGACACCACTAATATTGAAATACATCATTAACACCAATACTAACACTCAACATTGACACCGATTTTGACAATTGGCATCAACACCAATATCACTTGTTGTTCATAAGGTTGATACTCTTCATCTTCTATAAAGTTGGCGACTATCAATACCATCAATTTCTACACTTATCACCTTCACCAATGCCGACACATGGTACGACTTCCACGATATAGGCTACAGTCACTATTAAGGCTAACATATATCATCACCAATAGTTGCATTGTCTATCACCACCACATGACGAAGACCTATTTTTGTCATCAAGATTGATGCTTACTATTTCTACCAAGGCCAAAGCCCACTATTACCATTAAAAGTGATGTCAACTGTCAATACCAATGTTAAAGCTCGTTATCGCTTATAAAGTTGATATATACCATTGAAACCAATGTTAACACAAGTAATCAATACCATCAATATTGATGACCACTATTAAAACTAATGTTAATGTCCACCTTAGACATTGAGTCAATAACCATTGCAGACACTAAAGTTGATGCTAGTGAGCGCAGCAAAGCAGACTTTGCCATCACTTTCAAGAATGATGATTATTGCCGCTAACAACACAAATACCTACCATTGCACCAAGGCTAATGCCTATTATTGCAATCAAGTCTGGTGCTAACTATTACCAATAATGATTATACTAACAATGATGACCTTCATCGTCATTAACAACACATATGCTTGTCATCACCATTATAGCGAACACAACATATTTTCACAAATGAGGACATTCATCATTGCCATTAGAACTTAATCCCACAATAAATACAACATTTGTTGCTCATCATCTCTATTAAGGTTCACACTATCAACATTAATGTTATACCATCATCAACAAAGATGGACATCACTATTGCAAATAAGGTTAATATTCATTATCACTAGAAATACCTTCTTCTCGCAGTGTTATCAAGGTTTACGCCCATAGATCTCTCTAATGCTAAAACTCACTATTGCTACCAATGCTTGCCATCACTAGAAATACCAACAATGTTTACCAACACTAAAGCTCCAACATTGCCACCAAAACAAACATCCATTATCAATAACAGACCTAACACCCACCTTCATTGTTGCTTAGACAATTCTTCTATCAAGAGAATAAGTGAACATTCTATTACTCATATTTTGAAGAAAATTTTGGTGTCTTGAAACTCTTCTTACTTGTAGTATATAAACAATCATCCACAATTTATATATCTACTTTAGTCATAGAAATGTATTTAAAAAAAAGAGATTTTTAGTGGAATGATTTCATTAAATTTAGATTCTATGTTTAGTTCTCTTTCTTAGTTTCTTACTTCATCTTCAACAAACACTCCTATAGTATCTATGCATACATGAGATTTTCATTTGATATTAAAATAATTAATTTTCTATTTTGACAAAAATATTTTAGCACCTAACTCATAAAAATAATATTTATAAAATTTGTGCCTATTCTTTGTTTTAGAAATTGAACACTGCAACTAAGCAGTTGCATCAAGAGTTCATCCGTTAAATATTACGTGCGGCGACTGCACGTCTGAACGACAGTTCAAATGAACTGGCGTACGATACGCGTGACTGCATCCGAACTGTTGTCCGAACAGATACTGGCCGCATGACATATTTTCTCTTATTATTACTGCTACATCCGAAACGATAAATATTGTTTAAAATCTTTTTTACTGTTTAGTTATTAGAAAGAGAATAGAACCCAATCCTCTTCATAAAACAAAAATCAAACAACATCTTTTATAAAAATCTCAAATCACATGAGCCATAAACCAATAAATCATCCAAATTAACAACAATCCAAAACCATCAAACTTAATTAACATTATAATCATGCTCTAATCTGCCTAAACTTTTCTCCTTCAAACGCTATTAAATTGTGATAAATCACCAATACTGTAATGAAAGAAAGGCTTGAAAAATAACTATCAAAATCGCTTCATATCTTCACCGATCTGCAACCTATAAAGGAGGCCGGTCGGAGTGAACTGATAGCCGGGCCGGTATGGGCCGGCCTATCCCCGAACCGCCGCAGCTATTACAGGCCATCCGACCAGAACCGGCGCACGTGCGGCAACCCACATCCCCGTCCGACCACCGCGAACAGAAACAATCAATCCTTTCGGTACCGTTGCACTTCGGACAGCGAGGCAAACCGCCGCCGAACATCGGCGGAAGAAGACGCCCCTCCGCCGCCGCTTTCACCAGCATAGCGCCGGCCACCACGCTGAGTCCTGTAGCCACTTGTGTCGCCAATATGAGCGGAGCCATATCTTTCTTGCTTTGTTTCTATGAATCTGGCTTGATGGGTTGATTTGAAGATTAGGGAGATACCTGAGAAGGGAGATGTTGGGGTTTGTGTGTGGCGGGGTTTGTAGCTTTTATGATTTCACGTATGCGTGTTCGAGAGGGTTACGGCGATGCGTCGTTTACGTGGCGGCATCAGCTGGGCGAGGGTCTTGAACGAGAAGAGACTTGTGTGGCCATTAGTAATTGCTGTCGTGTAGCGCTTCCTGTTGCGTGAAGGTGTGCCGATTTAGGTTGCAAATTTGGATTTTGGAACCCTGATTTTTAAAATGGATTTTTTTTTTGGTGAGGGTCTTGTTCGATTGTCCAATCAAAAACTAATCAAGATAAAGAAAAAAAAAACATGTTGTACATCCAAAATATGTCAGCGTTGATCTTGAATGGATCTGATGGTTCACAAGAAGAAAAAAGAATATAAAAGAAGGTCCACCAATAAAAATTTATGATGCCCACTTTTTCGACCAAGGGAAGCTATTCGAAGCATAATCAGTAAAGTTATGGCTGACCAAATCTTAATAGACCAAATATGACAGAAGGATACAAGAACGAGTTGATTCAGAGGCTTTCTGACTCATTTGCATCTCCAACCACCTCAAAGACATCCAAAAGCGCCTGTCATCAGGGGTCAATGATTGATAGCCGAACAATTTTAACCAGCTGGCTCATAATGACCAAACTCTGCCGGCCGAGCCGATCCCATTTAGTCAAGTGAATCTAGGCCGACCGAGACAAATCAAATTGATCTTGGCACCGACATTATGCTCTTTCTCCTAGATGATAAGCTCATATGAAAAATACTAAGAATACCCTATACAAGCTCCTTCAAAGTAGGGATAAAAATATAACATTATCACATTATACTCTTTCTCCTGTAAGATTATTTTATGAATATGAAATGACAGATACGGCGTTTTACTACTCACTCATCTATTTGTCTCCCTCTTTCTCTTTACTTATGCTTTATTCCTTAGGTGTGATTCATGGATAATTTAGGATTCAACATTCTAAATGGAGCGATGAGCGTGAAATTTACCACATAAAATAAGAAGATCAACCCATTGAGAAGAAACTCACAGTAATGACACCGACATTATGGATTGCACTAAAAAGTTTGTGAATCAACATACCCAAGAGTTAAAAGATCAAATGATACATGTCATATGACATGTGCTGACTCAAGAAAGAGAGCAGTGCCCATGAGAGGAAGGGCCGATGCCCAACGACTGAAGAGTCCCCCGACCTTGGAAAGATAAAGCGAATCATAGTACTTTGATATTGTTGGGTTTGTACCAATTAATTGACATTGATTCAGGTTTGCTGAGGCTCCTCGATAGCCCAAAAATGAATTCTCTCAGTAAATCTATGAGGTTGAGCCTTTAAAAAGTTTCAAAATCCCGATGATAGTCCTACAAGGGGATCACTGATTCAATCAACCACATAGCCTCATTTGAGCTATTTGTGTATTTATTGAAAATCATCGTTATGCTGAATTGTTGTCTCTTCTTTGGCATATTGAGGGTGTCAGCCCTGAAGTGGTTCAATGCATTATCACCAGTAGTAATTGCATCCTTCGTTGATTTCAAGCTAATTTTTATGATGCAATTTGCTAGTGCCAAAAAGTATAAAATAGACCTCATGCAGATCTGACAAAGACAGAGCAAGAGCCTTTTATCATTCATCACATGCTACCAAAAGAAGTTGTAAGTGCGGGTTTTGGAGCTTGCAGTAGCTCATGCTACCCTAGCTTAAGGGCTGAAGAAACATATGCATTGAATTTTTAGTGACCGAATACGTTGGTTGAGTTGTTACAGCTGATCAATGAAATATCAGCCTAGGATTATAACTCCAATCCCATTTTCTCTATAGTAGAGTCTTTCACCCGTCACCCATAGAAGAAAGCCCAAGAAAAAGGGTGAAGATCGAGGCATAATTCCTATCCTTATGCATGCCCTCACTATGGATATAATTGGTTTCTCTAGAGCCACAAGGCGACCAACATAACATACCACTGAAGGAGTCAAGCCCGGTGTCCCGACCAACAGCTGGCTTGATATAAGTAGCTCCTACTTCCTAACCATGGAATACTCATGAAAATTTTTTTAAGAGCTTTCCAGGTCGAGATAGTGGAGGCCATTTAAAATAAATATTATTTCAAGTGAGCACTAGCGATGAAAGTCGAAGCTTATGTCCAAAACCCCAAGAAGTACCGCGCTTACCATTTGGAAAATTGTCACAATATGGAGGAATGTTGATACCACTAAGGCCTGATCAAGAGCTGATCAAGGCCTGTAAACTTAAGGAGTTTATGGCTCTATGAGCAAAAAATTAATAGCAAGAAAAATCTCCAATGGAATAAATATTAGATGAGCCAGCTTGAGCCCACACAATCCATATCTCTGACATAGTTCCTTACATCTTTGGAGGAGTTGGAGACTCGTTCCGTCGTGCTAGTTTGAAGAGGCTTTGTTTGAACTATGTGAAATCACCCCCACTCCCATACATAGCTTGTATCCCCTCATTTCCTTCACCTATGAAGATTTGTCCACTAGAAGTATTCCCTATAGTGATGTCATCGTTGTCATTGCATTGATCAACAACTACCAGAATGGTAGCATTCTCATCAAAACTAACATCTCTGTGAACATCTTGTTTAAGTTAGTGTTTGATGGGTCTCAACAATGATCAATTTACAGTGGTGATAGGTTGACTCTATGGATTTTCTAGCAAGAAGAAGGAAGTGCTAGGAGCAATTGCTCTGCCATTCACTTAGGGAGAGAAGGATAAACAATTCATCAACATGGAGGAGTTTCTAGTGGTCAATTAGCCACCTATTTACAATGATATATTTAGCCATCCTCTGCTCGACTCCTTCAAGGCCATCATCTAAACTTATTATGTAACAATGAAATTCCCAGCTGAAAAGGAGATAATCCCTATCCAAGGCGATCTTGAGCAGTCTCGCAAGTTACCTTGGAGCATTAAGAAGCATTAAGCAAGAGTATCTCAAGCTCAATAATCTTTTTGAAGGCGGTCTCCAGACCAATGAGATCACCCATCAGGTCTTGACGACCGAGGGTGAGAATGGTAAATTTTTCTTTTTATAAGTGAAGTTCTTAATGCAAGGTTCAAAGATGTCCTGATCAACACCATTTAGGATCACTGTTGCCTGGTCCATTACCAAGATGTTAGGAATACCAATCAATGTCGCGTGTCATCTCCTAAATGTAATTTTAGCTACCTAATTAATGAAGTGAAAGATGAGGTCACTGGCCATCACCTTAGTTAAGCCGATTCACGAGGAGGTTCATAAGCTATTAGAGGCCGGCTACATCGAAACACATGCAAGTGGGGGGCCCTTCCATCTCTTTCAGTGAGAGGGAGCAAGTGAGACACTTAGACCGATTGTTGGAACATTTCCCTTATGGAGACATACTTCCTCTTCCTAGCTAGCTGGCTCAAGCTCAGACTCAGATTCTCTCAAGTAGTGAGAGAAGGGTAATTGGCTTTGTCCCTCGCTAACGACTTAAGGGATGCCAAAGTATTCAACTGAGGGGTGACAAATCCCACATCCAATATTTTTTTTGTGGAAGCATCCTTCTCAGAACCACTCTATTCCAACTAACTCAGGATCCTTTTAGCTTCTTAGTGTTGTGCACTGGACGAGCCTACAACCAAAATAGGATTTTAGTAGGCATTGCAAAAACTCTTCTCTTTATGAGAATCAGCTCGTTGGTGGCGATCCTTTGGAAAATAACAGAGGAACTAGATATAGAATAAACCAGTTTTACATCTTCAAGATCTTAGCCAACACAGGCGAACAGAGGTATACTCTAACCTGCAACTTCAGCAACTTTGGGGTGAGAGGTTTCATCGCTAGCAATCACACGGGACGTTGTTGACCTCACTTTTGGTTGAGGTCTAGAAAACTTCTTTAGTAGCCTAGGTCTAGCCATAGGACTTTCCTATTGACTAGTCTTAGAAAACTAGAAGAGGTACCCCAAACTCTTCTTTTTATTCAACTTGAAATTCCACATATTGATCTTAACCTCTAGCATTTAGTAGGTAAGATCATTATAAGAGAATTTAAGAAGAATCCCTACAGGATTACTTGGCTTTAGGGTTGACCCGGGGTGTTGACTTGGAACTAAGATACACCACATCTTCACAATACATTAATCCATGGTTCATTTAGAATGGATATTTATCCAATTCTATGTGGAATGCTTAACTTGGTCTTTTGCCCCTAGGCACCTCCAAATTACCTAACTGCCCTTGGGACCCAAATTTGGCTAATATTCCCAAATTTTGCCAAAATACCCAAAATTGACATCTTCAAGATCTTAGCCAACACAGGCGAACAGAGGTATACTCTAACCTGCAACTTCAGCAACTTTGGGGTGAGAGGTTTCATCGCTAGCAATCACACGGGACGTCTTCATCATGGCTTAGGCGGCAATTGTTGTTTCCCATTCAACATTTTAAACATTATATTGATAATTATCGAATCAAGGTACTGATGGACCAAAAGTTGTTAACTTTATACTAATACCCGAATAGATCACTCTAAATGTTCCAGCCCGATAAAGAAGAAATGATGCAAAATTGAATATTCAAGTTTTTCACCTAATTGTCCATCCCTAACAACTGAAACTAGTCGATAGAGTCAATTGGACATAACCATTGAGGATAAACTGGAATGAGAATAGGCACGTGAAGAAATTTGTCAACCACATAATTCTCAACCAATGATAGAAGATGATGAAGGTCATAATGGTGATAATGGAGTCCTGCAAGATCTAAGCGGGAATGAATCCGTAATGATTGATAGTCCACAACACATAGCTAAGAGGCAACATCAAGCTGAAGTGAAATTGGTCCTTGTGGAAGATGAGGTTGGGGTCATACATTGTGGTCGCTCAGTCGCCCCCACTGAATGCGCAATGCCTAAATGAGGAACCATAGAT